CGTTCAGAAGCCTGCATCACTGATGGTATGGGGTTACATGAGCGCTTGTGGCATGGGCAGCTTGCATGTCTGGAAAGGCACCATTAATGCAGAGAACAATGTTCAGGTTCTAGAACAACATGTGCTCCCATCTAGACGTCATCTCTTTCAGGGAAGACCCTGCATTTTTCAACACGATCATGCCAGACCACATTCTGCAGCAATCACAACATCATGGCTACGTAGGAGAAGGATCCGGGTACTGAAATGGCCAGCCTGCAGTCCAGATCTTTCACCTATAAATCTCGTTCAAATGAAAAATATGACAATATTGGAGAACAGATATTTCTAGCTGCTATCTTTTGGTATTTAATGTTTTTTCTCTTATTTCTCTTAAGGAGAAAAAAAAGCTTAAACAACAAAGTACGTGGAACAAGATTTCAGCCTGAAGTTCACACTCTGTAATGTTTTGGTGATTATTTAATTATCTTGTAATAGCTGTTTTGTGTTGTGTGTTTCCTTGACTGATGAAGCCTTCTGGATTGAAGGCGAAATGTTTCAGCACAAAAAAAGAAACTGTCCAGATGACCTGACTGAAAAATGTTGGATTGTATACCTGGATTATTGAGCATGGACTTTGTTTATAATGTGAAGACATCAGTCCACACTACTCAGTTTTTGCAGAAAATAAAAATAAAGAAATTAGGATCACAACAATTCAGTCAAAATATGGTACTTTCAAAACAATATGTCTTCAATACTTTGTTGTGAATCCCTTTGTCTTAATCTCTGCCTCGATGTGACGTGGCATTGAGTCAGTCAGCCTGTGGCATTGACTGGGAGTTATGGAAGCCCAGATTTCCTTGATGCTGTCAGATCTTCTTTGTTGTTGGGTCTGGTGCTCCTCATGTTCCTCTTGAGAATTTCTCATAGATTCTCAATGAGGTTTAGGTCTGGTGAGTTGGATGGCCAGTCAAGCACTGTGATGGCATGGACATCAAACCAGGTTTTGGTGCTTCTGGCGGCATGGGCAGGGGCCGGCCAGGTCCTGCTGGAAGATGAAATCTGCATCTCCATACAGATCCTCAGCAGAAGGAATCATGAAGTCCTCTAAAACCTTCTGGTAGACTGTTGTGGTGACCTTGGATTTAAGAAAGCAGAGTTTACCAACACCTGCACCGGACATTGCACCCAAATCATGACTGACTGTGGATATTTCACACTGGACCTCAAGCAGTATGGGTTCTGTTCCTCACCCTTCTTCCTCCAAACCCTTGGACCTTGATTTCTGAATGACACACTTTACTTTTATCAGAAAAGAGGACCGAGGAACCCAACAGTTGTAGCCCGTCTCCTGGATGCGTCTGAATGTGGTGGTTTATGAAGCTGTGACTCCCGCCTCATTCCACTCTTTCTGGATCTCTGCCAGATTCTAGAATCTTCTCTGTTTGATAATCTGCTGAAGCCCACGGTCATCTCTTTTGCTGGTGCATCTTCTCCTGCCACATTTTGCCCTTCCACTAGACTTTCCATTGAAATGTTTGGACACAGCACTCTATGAACAGCCAGCCTCCTTAGCTATGAACTTTTGTGTCTTACCCATCCTATGGAGGGCATCAATGATGGTCTTCTGGACAGTTGTTATGTCTGCAGTCTTCACCATATTGAACTGAACTGAGACAATTGAACCAAACTAAAGCAATTTAATGACACCTGGGGAAACGTGTGCAGGTGCTTTGAGTTTAGTAGAAGATTAGTGTCACACTCCGTTTAAAACATTCATGTCCTGCAACATTTGGGCTGATTTCTTCAACGTATTCTAATTTTTTGAAATCCTGCTTTCGTGGGTTTCATGAGCTGGAAGCTCAAATTATGTAAAAATAAACAAATAAATTGTTTAAATTGTGGGCCCTGAATCTATCATCTATTAAATATTAACTTTTTGAATGGAATTAGGGAAGTTAAACAACATTTCCATGATATTCTAATTTTTTAAAGGGTCTGTATGTTTTCTGGGTTTTATATTGTTTAAAGTATAATGACCTTAAGCAATTCCTTGGCATGGCCAAAGATTAACCTATGTAGGTCAAGGCCATCATTGGCCACCCCCTGGCACCACCACTGTACCTGGAGGTGGATAAATTGCTCCCTCCACTCCAGGATCCATCACTCTGCACTGCCTCGGAGGAGAAGAAGAAGAAGAAACCTCCTTCTGTTCTTCTACACAGTAAAACTTCTACCCACTGGAACGTCTTGCATCAAAAACATTAAGAAACACTCTTTTCAAACAAAAAAAAACATTAAATATTCAAATCCTACAGCAACTGGGGGGACATGGGCGTACTGCTTTTTTATTTGTAGCTTGTTAGTGATACAAATATGGCATTAGGATTTTAAGCGTCCGTTACAGTATATCACAAAACAAAAAAACATATCCCAGCTTTTCCTCCTCGCCATACGATGATACACAGCATTTGATTAAAGACAACTAAACCAACCAAGTGTGAAATCCTCCACTGTTGTTTCCAAGGCAACACTTTGCTTTGTTTAGCTCCAGATGTACCTCTTTAAGATAATTTTAATGTTTAATGTTGAGAGGAGTTTTCTTCCACTGGAAGCTGTTTCACATGTTTTGATGGAAGCTCCAGATGTTGGAATCTCGGGCAGTTTTGGCCAAATAACACCCACACAACACTGGAGAATACATTTAGTCAGAGAGAAATTTACTGAATATTACCAAACTGTAAACTATCTCCCGCCGCCACGACACAGCGCTCCACTGTCTCACTTTTCGAGGTATAATTGCTTTTAGGGAAAAAACAACAAGCAGCTGCATTTAGCGACGCTTGTTTCTGTCTAACCAACAATCAGCTTGTTGTGACTTTCCACTGACCGTTTCCATTTGACTTTACTTGACACAAAGTATGATCTGACATCCAGATCTTTATATCTTTAATATCACCCACTGCCAAAGTTGATGGGGCGACAATGTTTTTACCCATGTCTCCGTAGCATTAGCAAAATACAGTATCCCATGAACCAGTGGAAAGAATTAGAGGAAATGCTCAGAAAGTAATTACTGGATGGACATCTAGAACAGGTGAACGTTTAAAGTTAACCTGATTGAGAGTGGCAACCACAGCTAAGCAACATAACAAACACCAAAAATGTCTATAACTAGGCCAGTATGTGGTGTATCTGACGGTCATTCCCAATCCCAGCACATACTTTAAGCACTAATTGATAGAACAAAATAATTTAAAGCTTTGCTTTTATTAGTTAACTACCTGTTTGTTGATGGCCTAGTGGTTAGCTCTGTTGCCTCACAGCAAGAACATCATGGGTACAATCTCTGGTTTGGACCAGGAGTCTTTCTGTGAGAAGTTTGCATGTTCTCTTGGATTTACTCCAGATAATCTGGTTTCCTCCTGCAGTCCAAAATCAGGCGTTAGTCTGATCTGCCTGGTTAAATAAAGGTTAATAAATATAAATAAATAAATTGATAGCAGACTTTCTCTTGAACCATAGGATGAATTTTAATGTATCAATGCAGAAAGTATTTACTGATAAACTTTTTGAAACAATTCAAGTTGTCCACCACAGCTAAATGACCTTAGAAAAGTGTCTAAATTCAGTGTGGTTGTAGAGGAGTTTTATGAAGAGTGCTGATACACAAGGTTAAAGCTATTGGCTCTGGGTGGTCAGAAAGAGCTTCCATATCTCTGGGCTACTTCAGCAACAGTAATTAGGAGACCAGCAGGAAGGTACTTGGCGTGTCATCAGGGAGAGTTGTGGAAGTTAGACTGGTTTGTGAGCAGCAGTATGTTTCATGCTGAGAAAGAGCACCACAGACACCATCTTTGCTTTGTGCTGCATGAGCAGGACATGTTGGACTGGTACAGGACATGTATGAGGACAGCAGGACAGTGGTGAGATGTGCTGTAGGAGTGACGGATAGCTTCAAGGTGGGGGTGGAATTGCAAAGATAGACTCTGAGCCCCCTTTTGTTTTCTCTGGTGATGGACCGACTAACAGATGAGGTCAGGCAGGAATCCCCGTGGACTATGATGTTTGCAGATGACATTGTGATCTGTGGTGAGAACAGGGAACAGGTGGAAGAGAACTTGGAGAGGTGGAGGTATGCACTTGAAAGAAGAGGAATGAAAGTCAGTCGTAGTAAGACAGAGTCCATGTGTGTGAATGAGAGGGAGGAGGTGGAACAGTGAGGCTACAAGGAGCAGAGGTCACAAAGGTGCAGGACTTCAAGGACTTGGGATCCACTGTCCAGGAACATGGGGAGTTTGGTAAAGAGGTGAAGAAAAGAATGGAAAGTGGAAAAAAATAGTTATGTTGGTGCTAAGATGGTCTCTGGGGCACGTCCTATCCTCCAGTGCCCACCCTCTCCCTGGTCGACAGTCATGTCAAACTTGATCAAAACACCAAAGTCCAACATAACTGTTTTTTTCCACTTTGAAGTAAGCTGTTGGGGATCAGTTTTGTGTTGTGTGCTTTCTCAGACTGATGAAGCCTTCTGGATGGAAGGTGGAATGTCTCAGCACAAAAAAAGAAACCATCCAGATGACCTGACTGAAAACTGTTGGATTATTGAGCATGGACTTTGGTCTTCACCAGTACAGGTTAATACACTTCGAGCAGCGAACTGAAAAACTCTCAACCAGCAGGTGCATGTGTGTTTCAGCTTCCCCCAGCTGTCTGTGATAGACCTGAGTGATGCGGAGAGCAGCTGAAAAACAACACCAGCCCAGAAAACAGCATTGCGTGTGAGTGCAACTTATACTTTAATTTAGAAAAAGGCAACACTTGATGGACACAAAGACATTGGAGGGTTCTGTGGTAATGTGATGTTACGTTTGGAGAGCTCAATAAGCAGCACTAAAGCAAACTGCCTCACTGACTGATGAGAGAGCCGCCCAAGATACAAAACGAGCTTACAAAATATTGCTGCCTACACCAAGATAAACTGTAGCGTCAGAACAGATACAGTATCTTCTCCAACAGGTCCCTCTGACAGAGGAGGTTACTTATACAGCTACTCCTATAGATGCAAATGTCCTGATTTATGAGTGAAGCCTAGAACAGAGAAAAACTGGGAGCGAAGTCCCTCCAGTCAACGTTAGAGACAGTCCTCTGGTCCGAAGGGCTCAGAAAGTTCTTTCCAGAGGGTGAGAGCAGATGTAGGCTCGGTTCTCTAAGACTGCCTTGGCAATCTTCTTTAGGTTGGCATCGTTGTTTTCAGGACAATCTGGAACAAATTAAACAAACTATTATACTTGGTCATTTATTTATTGAGGAAAATGATCCAATATTACATATTTGTGAATGGTAGAAGTATGTGAACCTCTAGGATTAGCAGTTAGTTTGAAGGTGAAATTAGAGTCAGGTGTTTTCAATCAATGGGATGATGATCAGGTGTGAGTGGACGCCCTGCTTGATTTAAAGAACAGGGATTTATCAAAGTCTGCTCTTAATCAACCATATGCTCAGATTCCAGTTCATCATTAATTAGTTTAAAAATAGTTGTTCAGAAAGCAGACCAGACATATTGATAGAAATACTGCAAACATCACCAGTATATAGAATTAAGATGATGGCGTTAATTGTTACATTTGTATGGATACCAGCGCACATTGGAATAAGAGGAAATGGAACGGTGGATAAAGTTGCAAAGGAGGCTACCAAAACATCAGTTGAAATAGATTTAAAATTCAGTTGGGCAGAAATAAAACGCCTCATAAAGCAGAGAATGAAGGAAAAATGGCAAAAGCAATGGGAAGAAGAAAGAAAAGGTTGACGGTTTTACAGAATTCAATGAAAAACAGGAGAAATGAGAAGAGCTGAAAGAAACGGAAGGGAGTAAACTGTCATATCACGTCTCAGACTTGGACACAGGCTTGAACAGGACAGTATTCATGACAGGGAAGCATAACACCAGTAAATGTGATTACTGTGGGGAAGGTGAGACCATAGAGCATGTGCTACTGAACTGCAAGAAATACAGTCATGAAAGAAGTCAAATCATGATTTACAGTCTCACTGGAATAAAAGTAAGATTCAACCCTATAAAGAGTTGCTACATGGGAAATCAAGCTCTGAAAGTACCGAAACGGACTCGATTGTTTGAAAGAATATGAAGCAGAATCGGCTTTATTGTCATTGCACAGAAGCACAACTAAATTACATTTCAGTACAGCCAATCCAAAGAAACACAAAGTAACAACAGACAGGGTAGACGGGGTGTTTGAGGCTGCAGCCTCACTGAGAGGTGCTTGGTTTTTGTTAAATTAGAAAAAGGTGAACACGAGAAAAAAGGTTAAAAAAAAATGATATCTCATGCTGTGAGAGGCTGCAAAAAAAAAACGGCACAAAAATAAAAGCAACATACTGTTAGTATTTTTATCTAGACTGACTTGATCTACTCAGAGATGGGATTGTAATAAAATGAGTATGGTATGCAAACTGTAGGGGGTCCAGGTATGGTTCCACTGCTGATCTGACGTGCTTCAGGACCAGCATCTCCACCGACTTCATGGCATGTGATGTCAAGACCACAGGTCTATAGTGACTGTGTGAGTTTGGTTGGTTGTTTTTTGGCACCGGAACAAGGAATGCTGTTCTCCACAGAACAGGGACCACCCTCATGCTCAAGCTCAGGTGGAAAACGTACTGGAAAACATGACAGCTGAGCTGCACATCCTTACAGAAGTTTGGGTCTCAGTCCATCTGGGACTGCAGGCTTGCCTGGATGTAGACAGCTGAGCTCCAGCCTCACCATGAGTCCACCATCAGGGGAACACAGAACCAAACTGGTGTTCGTGGCAGCGATGTAAGAAGAAAGCTACTGCTCTCCAAAATGTACATTGCTGCTTGTCTGCAGTTGCAGAAGTGGTAGCATTGGATAAGAAATAACAAATGAGTAGAGTAATAAAGAGCATGTTCGTTGGTTGTAAGATTTTGAAGCTTTTTTTTAAAGCACATGGTATAGAAATCAAACTTGTGGCGATTGATCTTTACTTTCTGCTTTTGAACACAGACAAGACTGAGGTTTTGGGTTTTGGACCTTTGAACGTATTAGGAATACATTTTTCAGTCTTTCTCCCTCCTTAGATGCATTAATCTGTCCTCCAGCTCTAATGTTAAAAATCTTTATTATTTTTGATCAGGACATGTCTTTTATCCCCCACATTAAGAACATTACTAGAACCACCTTCTTCCACCTGAGTAATATCACTAACATTAGAAACATCTGATCTAAAGATGATGCAGAAAATCTGGAACATGCATTTGTTTCCCCAGGTGTCATTAAATTGCTTCAGTTTGGTTCAATTGTCTCAGTTCAGTTCAATATGGTGAAGACTGCAGACATAACAACTGGCCAGAAGACCATCATTGATGCCCTCCATAGGATGGGTAAGACACAAAAGTTCATAGCTAAGGAGGCTGGCTGTTCACAGAGTGCTGTGTTCAAGCATCTCAATGGAAAGTCTAGTGGAAGGGCAAAATGTGTCAGGAGAAGATGCACCAGCAAAAGAGATGACCGTGGGCTTCAGTGGATTATCAAACAGAGAAGACTAGAATCTGGCAGAGATCCAGAAAGAGTGGAATGAGGCGGAGTCACAGCTTCAAAAACCACCACATTCAGACGCATCCGGGAGATGGACTACAACTGTCGGGTTCCTTGGTCCTATTTTCTGATGAAAGTAATGTGCATCTTTCAGAAATCAAGGTCCAAGTGTTTGGAGGAAGAAGGGTGAGGAACAGAACCCATACTGGTTGAGGTCCAGTATAAAATATCCACAGTCAGTCATGATTTGGGGTGCAATGTCCGGTGCAGGTGTTGGTAAACTCTGCTTTCTTAAATCCAAGGTCACCACAACAGTCTACCAGAATGTTTTAGAGGACTTCATGATCCCTTCTGCTGAGGATCTGTATGGAGATGCAGATTTCATCTTCCAGCAGGACCTGGTCCCTGCCCATGCTGCCAGAAGCACCAAAACCTGGTTTGATGTCCATGCCACAGTGCTTGACTGGCCAGACAACTGGCCGGACCTAAACCTCATTGAGAATCTATGGGGTCTTCTCAAGAGGAACATGAGGAGCACCAGACCCAACAACAAAGAAGAGCTGACAGCATCAAGGAAATCTGGGCTTCCATAACTCCCAGTCAATGCCACAGGCTGACTGTCTCAATGCCACGTCACATCGAGGCAGAGATTAAGACAAAGGGATTCCCAACAAAGTATTGAAGACATATTGTTTTGAAAGTATCATATTTTGATTGATTTGTTGTGATCCTGATTTCTTTCTTTTTTTTCTACAAACACTGAGTGGTGTGGGTTGATTTCTTCACAATATTCTAAATTTTTGAAATCCTGTTTTCATGGGTTTCATGAGCTGGAAGCTCAAATTATGTAAAAATAAACAAATAAATACTTGAAATTGTTTAAATTGTGGGCCCTGAATCTATCATCTATTAAAGATTAACTTTTTGAATGGAATTAGTTAAACAACTTTTCCATGATGTTCTAATTTTTTGGAAAGGGTCTGTATGTGTATAGTAGAGTGCTGTATGAAGGTGTGTGTGGAGGTAACTGAGGGCACAGGTTGTGCTGTCAAGAGCTTCGAGTATCTTGATTAGATAGAAAGGAGCAATATAAGTACAGTCCATTTACCAGTGCTATGATCAACTACAAACATTTGAACCTGACGCTCTCACAGAGAGAACATCGTGAGGATTTTAGGGGAAAAAACAAGTTCAACTGAGTCACACCTTTGCATTAATCTTAAACATCTTAGTGCAAATTTTTTTTCAATTCCAAGAACTAAGTGGTAAATGGACTGTACTTGTGTAGCACCTTTCTATCTTATGAAGACACTCAAAGCTCTTTACAACAATCTGTGCTCATTTATCCATTCATACAGCTCTCTACTAGATCTATACAAAGATAATTGAACAAATAATTTTCAAGAGAATAATCAGAGCTTTATCACATTCATACACTGATGGGACACACATCAGAGGCTATGAGGGGTTCAGTGTCTTGCCCAGGGACACTTGGGCATGTGGCTGCTGTTGGATTCAAACCCCCAACTCTTGCATCGGAGGACGACTGCTCCAACCACTCAGCTACACCGCCCCTAACTAACGCAGCAGAATCAGTGACTTTACCTGAGAGTGACTCAAACCAGCTGTGCGTGCTGCTGTGGCGATGCGCTCGCTGCTAGCGGGAGTCAGACGTGTCTGCATGCTAACGATGCTGCTCTGAACACATTTTATTTTAGATACAAACGTTCCAGGGATGTTGCAGAGCGGGGTGTTCGTGTTTGAGATATTAGGGGGGGAAATTCCACAACAGATGCAAGTCTTTAGTACGAACACGAAGCACAGGCCTGTTCTTCACCATCACAAAGTGTCGCACTTACGTTTTTGCATCTGAACTATCAAGTAATTGTTCTTGTGGAAGGCATCATTGCAGAACGTGTTCGCGATCAGCACCTGAAAATTCAACACAGCGAGATTGATCAGACGTAAAGAGCAGTTAACAAAAAAACAACACAAGTGCAAGAACTCAACAGAGGAGTCAAATACTCATCAGCTCTATAAACAGAACATCTGCACACAGATCACAGATGTTCTTTCTAACATCTGGAAGGCAAGCACATTTACCGTTTGCCTTTGGAATAAAAACCCACTAAACACAACACAGACCCAAACAGAACAATTTTATAGGATCAGAAGATGAAAGCCTTCAGATTTTGGGATCACAAAGTTTTGATCCCTGTGTGTGTGACTGCATCTAGAGGAGGAGTAAACTGTGGAGGCAGCTGGAGTCTCCTCTGAAACACACATGATGCAAACCTTCGCCGACTTGTGCAATATCCTTAAAATGTTGCATGCCTCGTTACGATCACTCACAGGAGAGCAAGACTGTTGAATTCATCTTAGTAAAGTATATTTTTACAACTCCAGCCGAAGACAATCAAGGTCTTTTTGTTAGCAAAGCAGAACCTTTTCACAGACCTATAAAAATAAAAGGCTAATTGGAAAACATGGCTGGTTTAGCTGCTGATAAAAAGCCTTATTAAAGACAAAAAAAGAACAAGAACCCAATATTGTACTGCTACTGTGAGCTATATTAGACCAGTACTGTGAAAAAGTATTTGCCTTACAGATTTCTCCTGCTTTAGTTTTGTTATTTTTTATTGGTTCAGATCTTCAGACAACCATCACCATCAGACAAAGATAACCTGTGTACATTCAAAATGCAAATTTTAAATGATTGAATTTAGTAAAAGAAAAAAGGTATTTAAGCCAACCTGGTTCTAAAGTTGGAAAGTAATTGTCCCTCGTGTAAAATCATAAATTATCTGGGATTTTCATTTTCTTTTTTTTTAACAAAGCCAACTTTTTTTGTTATTTTTTCTCTCTGTTCTCCGGTGGAACCAGACGTGTCTCCCAGTCTCCACCCCCCCACTTCCCTGCTCTTTTGTCCTGTGAACCCTTAAAAAGCCTCTTTTTTGTTTTTTTCTGCATACCTCTTAATTGGAAGGATCAGCTGGTCTCTCAACTAAATTGATCAACTTCTCCTGACAGGAGTCAGGGTAAGGAGGACCCTCGTACCTCGACGGAAACAAACTGGATCCATGATGACAACTGGTTATTTTGCTGTTTGGCTGGTGAATTCTGGATTGTCTATAAATTTGTGGATGTGTCGACAATGGATAGTGGACCAATGAAACCAAGTGTCATTGGTCCACTGTGACCTGTTCGTTAATTTCATTGATCAGATTATTATTTTTAACCTTTATTTATACAGGTAGTCTCATTGAGTCACGAGGATCAACCCCCCAAGAGAGACGTGTATTGTGCAGCTATGTGAGCGCCCGGATGTGACGAGACTAAATGTTTTGGCTGCATGACGGTCATTAGTCCATCAAAAAATAGAAAATAAAGTCAAGAATCCAAAAATTTGCTGCAGCGTTGTATAAGTTACAAAGTTCAAAGCATGTGGAAAAAGTAGACCAGAAATTACGATATAGTTTTTATTTTACAAAATGCAAACTGTGGCGAGTCATCATTGACCTTCCCTTTGTCAGTTTGTTGTTTATGACTGAGCGGTCCAATAGACCACGTCATCACTCCATTACATTATTGAGCTGCGACACCAGCTTACCTTCACACGACGACCATTTCGCCGTTGTGTCTACCTTGTTTTGCAGCACAGTGGTGCAGTGTGTGTTTATGTGTAAATGTAATACACACCTCCTGGTCATGATTGTTGAGGCCGATACAGATCGAGCGGCTGGCTCTGGACAGGACAGCTGTCATGGCGTACAGGTTGATCACGATGTCTGCAACCTTCTTCAAGACGAGCTGTTCATCCACTATGCTCTGACATCAACACAAGAATAAAAAAAGAAGTGCAGATTGGGATTTGTTGTGACTTCACTGACTGAGAATTGTTTAATATAAAAAAGAGGAGGAATTCATTTTTCTGAAAGAAAAGACGACCACAAAGAAAGATGACCTGATGGGGTAATAATTTATTCTGAATCTGGAGATTTTCTGACAAATATCTGTATTATTTTGGTGGCAACATTTGAGACTTCTGGCATCTACGCATGTTAGCAAGAACTGTTTGCTTTTTATCTCATAGTCTGGTGGCTTTCATCACGAAGCAGGTTGAACGTTTCCAGCGCTTCATTCAGAAATCTGGCTTAAATAACCCTAACAATAAAAATGACAAGGTTTAGTCGGGTCTTCTGGATAGGTTCTTCCTTGATGAAAAGTTTCATCTTGAATCCAAAAAGACTTCTTCAGTCTTCAGGACCTGACTCAACCTTGTTAGATTTATCTACCTGAATTCATTACTTCATTCAACCTTTATTGAAACAGATAAGTCACATTGAGCCTTGAAAACTCATTTACAAGTGAGACCTGTTTGGACAATAAAAGTGGTGAAAAATAACACATAGGGTTTGGAGACAAAAAAAATTCCCAACACGCTTTTAACCTCTGTTTGAAGGTCAACAGTGTGGTAATGAAAAAAAAACAACTCTCACACAAGCACATAATGACGCAAGGGCGGTGAGCAGCCAGGGACAACACACAGAGGCACTGCAGAGTTCAGATAAAATGACTCGGTTCAAATAGTGCCCTCTGGAGAGATCCTTGCACACTCGGGGGGGTGCCAAGGATGACCAGAGACGAATCCAGAGTCCTGAAATGATGACAGAATGTTTTTTTCAGCTGGGCTCCTCTGAAAAGTCCATGGAATTCCTTAGTAGTAAGGGAGGGAGGGGTTAGAGCATCAGGTTTACAAAACTTTCCAGACGAGATGAAATAAGATGGCCTGTTAAGGCCAGTCAGGGAGCCAAATTCAGATAAACACGATTGTTTTAGGGACAGGCAGAACTTTAATGACATCTACATTGAGTCTGTGTCGGTCCACTCTGTTCTGAAACGTCCAAATTAAATGACCATACCAATGAAACGTGCCTGAGAATAATCCCTGAGATCTGATCCACTCTGCTAAGAGTCTGGGTGCTCGAGGCGCAAACCAAGCCATCATATAAGGCAGGCAGCCTGACCAGGTCCAGATTTGCTGCCGATGACTTCCTTGTTTGTTGATAGACCAGGAACCAGCCGAATCTAAAAAGCAGGAACCAGTTATATAAATCTAATTATAAATGTGTCCTTAAAATCCACATATGACAGCAGAGATAGACATGTCGTCAAGTCTTCAAAGTCGATGAGATATCCAGCTGCGTGCGTGCCAACAGGGCAAATCGGCTCTCCTAAAGCCAGTATTTTCTTTAAAGAAATGTTATGAATTGTGTTGAGGGACCAACTGACCAAATCCAAGTCCATAGTTATAATTCGGAAGACATGTAGAAGAGAGGCTCTAAAGCAGTTTCACAGACAGGACAGAGCAAAAGCAAAGCGGAGAGGGAGAGGAGAAGACGTCCGCCCTTGAGAAGAGCAAGTGTTGAAATTATTGAGCAGCATCAGGACCTGACAATAAAGAGTGTACTTTGTCGTCCTACAAAGCTGGTTATGAATTAATTGGTCAACTCCTCCTTGAATCGTCACTTTATCATGGTGGAGGAGTTTGTGCGCCTGAATGATCCTAAGAGCTATGCTTTCTGGGGCAATTTTAATTTCCCCTGGTAGGGTCTCCTAAGGTAGATTGGTCCTAGGTGACAGGCCAGACAAAGAGCGATTGAGAAGACTTATGCCCCTTTTCCACCGCTCCTACTCAGCCCTACTCAGCTGGGTTCGGTACAGTTTGAGCGCTATTCCACTGTCACTTTTTAGCTGATTCAGCCCTTTTTTTGTCCCTGCTTCTCTGGTGGGACCAAGCGAGCTGAGCCGGCACCTAAAAGTGACTGTTGGTCACTGATGGTCAGGGGGAGGAGTCAGAGTCTTTCCAAACAACTTGATTTATCTTTTTTTTTCAGCTCGCCGTGGAGCGTATTCAAGGAGCGTATTTGTACATATTTTGAAGAAATTAACAAAACAATTATGTCAAAGCCGTGGTCAAATGCTGAAGTGCAGGCGTTTTTGTGCTTCATCGCTGACGAAAAATTCAGAGCGAGCTAGATGAAGCAACTCGTAATGAGAAGGTGTTTAAAGAGGTATCGGAACTGATGGCTTCTCACAGCTACCAGCGAACACCCAAGCAATGCTGGGAGAAGCTAAAGAAACTAAAGGCGATTACCGTAAAATTAAAGACCACAATGGCAGGAGTGGATCAGACCGGCGAAATTGGAAGTGGCTCCATCAGATGGAAGCCGTTATGGTAAACGGTAATCGCCCAGCTGGGAGAGTGGTTTGGACACGGCCACTGCTCCGCTTGATTCAATTATTGAAGATGGTGAGTGTTTTCTAACTTTAAACATATTTTAAGTAACTCATCCCATCGGTTCTGAACATATTTTGAACTAATAAAAGAGGCTGACGGTATAATCGGACAGCATCAACGCTACGCTAGCATAACTGTATTCCATTCCTGTTTTTCACTGTATTTGATTCAGAACATATCTCGGCACGTTACGTTAGTCTATAAATTCCATTTTGGACCCTCCAAGCCTCCCGGCTTCTGCTCCATCAGCAGAATCTACACCGGCCAGAGCTCCATCGCAGCCTAGCACCTTACAGAGCAGCACAAGGCAGCAGCTTGCTGTAACTTGGTAAGAAGCAACAAAAGCAAAACAATCATGTTTCACATCACTTTATTTGTGCTGATAAGGACGTGCTTTTATTTTATTTTCTTTTGGAAGAAGCCCGTAAGTCAAGGGAACAGGAAGCAGTCCTGCAAAGGGAGGAGTTTGCACAGAATGCTGCTTTCAATCAAACCTTCCTTGGAGTGCTGGGAGAGCTTGCACGTGCCATAACGCACAGACATGTGTTACATATTTTTTAACAGATGGATGGATGATCAGTAGTTAGATGCAGTTTTTTTTTAATATTTGTACATTTTCCACTTGTTACTTTCCAATAAAATATTTTTTCTTATGTGGTGTTCTTGAATCTTAAATTTTCTAATCATAATTTACAATGTTCAGTGTGTATAGTGTTTGTTTAAATCCATACTGGAAGTTAAGCAAATTTTCCATTTGCATTTGACCTTTAATGAATCCTAAGCAACGATTACCAGAATCTGCTCACCTGTTATTAAATTATACATTTTTTAGTTACCGGATGAAGTCAGCAGACAAAAAAATTGCTTGATATTTCGAGGTACAGTAATGAAATATCAAGCAATTTTTTTGTCTTGTGACTTCATCCGGTAACCAACAGTCACATGCCGAAGTGTCACTGGGCAAGACCCCTCATTGCCTCCGACATGTGTCCCATCGGTGTATGAATTAATTCAACCTTTATTTAGACAGGTAATCCCATTGAGCCTCGAGGACTCATTTACAAGAGAGACCTGATTTCAACATGAGAATGTATGAATGCGATAAAGCACTGAATATTCTTTGTATAGAAATAGTAGAGTGCTGTATGAATGGGTAAATGAGGGCACAGATTGTGTTGTAAAGCATTTTGAGTGTCTTAAGATAGAAAAGTGCTATGTAAGTGCAGTCCATTTACATGTGTTTTGTGGACTTGGAGAAGGCTTTAGACCGTGTTCCTTGAGGAACACTGTGGGGAGTGCTCTGCGAGTACGGGATAAGGGGCCCATTGCTATGGGCTGTTTGATCCCTATAAGCAGTGCAAGAGTATGGTTCGCATTGCCGGTAGTAAGTCAGGTCTCAGGTATCAGGTCTCTCTTGTAAATGAGTCCCCGAGGCTCAATGGGATTTACCTGTTTAATAAAGGTTGAATGAAAAAGGTTGGACCCCATAAGGGTAGGAGTTGGTCTCCACCAGGGTTGCCCGTTGTCACAGATTCTGTTCATAACTTTTATGGACAGAATTTCTCAGTGCAGCCAGGGGGCAGAGGGATTGTGGTTCAGTGGTCTCAGGATTCCTTCTATGCTCTTTGCAGATTATGTGGTCCTGTTGGTGTCATTGTGCCATGACTTTTGGCTCTCACTGGAGGGGTTCGCAGCAGAGTGTGAAACGGCTGGGATGAGAATCAACACTTCCAAATCTGAGGCCATGGTCCTCAGTCAGAAAAGGGTGGATTGCTCTCTTCGGATTGAGGCTGATGTTCTACCTCAAGTGGAGGAGTTCAAGTATCTCGGAGTTTTGTTCACGAGTAAGGGAAGAATGGAGTGTGAGTGACAAATGGATTGGTGCAGCATCTGTAGAATTGTGGACTCTGTCATTCCATTGTGGTGAAGAGGGACCTGAGCTACAAGGTAAAGCTCTCTGTTTACTGGTCGATCTACGTTCCTACTAGGGATGGGGCCGACCCAATCCAGTATCAGTATCGGGCTCCGATACCAGCATAATTTACGTATCGGATTTTTTGATCTAACCTGCCGATATTTCCGATCCATGCATGTCTGTGGTTGCATTGCACGTTGGCTTCAAACTATGGAATGGATTTCCTGAACGGAGGCGTGTCTCATGAACCCAGAGTAATAAGACCCGCCTCACATTCAGGAAATCCATATCAGTTTGCAGCAGCTACAACGTGAGGACTGAGTTAGCAGCACTGTGGCTAACAGCTAACCAACTTTTCATCTAAACATGTCGCTGTGTGGAAGTATTTTACACTAAACAACACAAAACAAGACAGCAACGTGCAATGTCTGCAGAGCCATAGCGCCACATTAAACCCTGGTAAAGTTAGTTTTATGATGGACATTCGAGTTCCGGGGCTTCAGCGGTCTGTTATTTTCGTTCAGTCCGGAGAAGGCAGTCTGGTTTCGGTCAGCCGCGCTCAGTCTGACCCGCTCAGTCTGTCCGTGTCGGAGGAGGGGCAGACTGAGCGCGGCTGACCGAGATCAGACCGCTTGTGGATTGAATAAGAAGAAGACGTCGCTGAAGCCCAAATGTTTACAGAGAAGTTGCTAAACTTCATCGTAATTAATGACCAACCACTATCAGTTGTAGAAAACGAAAGAGTTTGCAGTTTGATACTTGCAGCCAAGATATAGTTTACCCTCCAGGAGATATTTATCAGTACAACAGTAGACAATCATAAAATTTTTTCATGAAAATTACAAGAAAAAAAAAATAAAAATATATATATATATACAATATATATATATATACAAAAACAGCTACATTATAAAGTGATGTAAAATACTAAAATAGGAACACGTCTGTTTGTTTATGCCATGAATTTAGCAGATGTTTAAAGCCATTTAACATTTTATTTTATTTTATTCATTTATTCATTCATTTAAAAGAAACAAAACAAATTCATCAAAAAGAAAACATTGAATGAAAAGAGTGCAGAAAGAAGAAAAATCTTATTTCTGCCCCTTATTTAAAAAATATAAAATAACTTTAAACAATCACTTAAATTAATCACTTTAAAGCTAGGAAAATAAAACAACAGCATGTTTTGTGTTAGCAGAATTTAATTTTAACTTTAAAACTTATCCAACATTAATAAAACTTACCTCAAGTTGCCTTTTTGGACATGCATGCATATATTTGTACAAATTATACTTGAGAGGAGATTATTACAGCCTCATATAAAATCAACGATGATCATGATATCGGAACTGGATCCGTATCGGCCGATACTTAGATTTAGGTATCGGGATCGGAAGTAAAAAAAAAAAAAAAAAGGTGGATCGGTGCATCCCTAGTTCCTACCCTCACTTATTGTCACGAACTGTGGATAGTGACCAAAAGAATGACATTGCGAATACAGGTGGTTGAAATGAGTTTCCTCTGCAAGGTAGCTGGACACATTCTTAGAGATAGGGTGAAAAGTTCAGTCATCCGGGAGAGACTCGGAGTAGAACTGCTGCTCCTCCACATTGAGAGAAGCCAGTTGATGTGGTTTGGGTATGTGGTAAGGGTGCTTCCTGGGTGCCTCCCTATGGAGGCGCTTCGGGTATGTCCGTCTAGGAGGAGACCCCACGGAAGACCCAGGACCCGCTGGAGACTATGTCTCCCGATTGGCCTGGGAACACCTGGAATCCTCACATGAGGGTTGGAAGAGGTGGCTGTGGAAAGAGATTTCTGGGCCTCCCAGCTCAAGCTGCTGCCCCCACGACCCAGCTTTGGATCAAGCGAAGATAATGGATGGACAAATGGATGGTCAACCCAGGAGCTCTAAATGCTGCACGTGCCACCTTTTATTGTTTTAACCTTATTATCAACCACAGCCATATGTGAAGGTGGACAGTTATTGTTTTACTCATGTCTGTTAGCAAAATATATCATGAATCACTGGACAAATGTTAAAGAAACCTGCAGAATAAATATCTTTGGATGTACATCTACAACTGATTAAATTTTGGAGTCAGCCAAATGATCTTGACTGTCCATCCATCCATCCATTATCTTCCACTTATTCAGAAGTCGGGTCGCGGGGGCAGCAGCTTGAGCAGGGAGGCCTAGACATCTCTTTCCACAGCCACCTCTTCCAGCTCTTCTGGGAGGATTCCAAGGCATTCCCAGGTCAACCGAGATACATGGTCTCTCCAACGTATCCTAGGTCTTCCCCGGGATCTCCTCCCAGTTGGACATGCCAGAAGCACCTCTCTAGGGAGGCGTCCAGGAGGCATCCTTACCAGATGCCTGAACCACCTCAACTGGCTCCGCTCGACGTTGAGGTGTAGCGGTTTTACTCCAAGTCTCTCCCGGATAACTGAACATCTCACCCTATCTCTAAGAGAAAGTCCAGCTATCCTGCGGAGAAAACTCGTTTCAACCGCCTGTATCCGCAATCTCATTCTTTTGGTCACTACCCAGAGTTCATGACCATAGGTGAGAGTAGGAACGTAGACCGACCAGTAAACAGAGAGCTTGCCTTACAGGTCAGCTCTCTCTTCACCACAACGGACCGGTACAGAGTCCGTAATACTGCAGATGTTGCACCAATCCGTCTGTCAATCTCACGCTCCATTCTTCCCTCACTCGTGAACAAAACACCGAGATACTTGAACTCCTCCACTTGAAGCAGAACCTCATTCTCGACCTGAAGAGAGAAATCCACCCTTTTCCAGTTGAGGACCATGGCCTCAGATTTGGAGGTGCTGATTCTCATCCCAGCCGCTTCACACTCGGCTACGAACCGCTCCTGTGAGAGCTGAAGATCACAGCACGATGACGCCAACGCAGATTGGGATTGAGAAGGTCCGAGAAGTATTCCTTCCACCTCCTGACGACATCACTGGTTGAGGTCAACAGCACCTCACCTTCACTGAACACAGTGTTAGTAAAGTGCCGCTTTCCCCTCCTCAGCCACATGATGGTTTGCAAGAACCTCCACGGAGCCGACCGCGAGTCTCTATCCAAGGTCTCACCGAACTTCTCCCACATCTGAGCTTATGCCTCTGCAACAGCCAAGGTTGCACACTGCTTGGCCCTCTGGTACTCCTCAGCCGCCTCCAGAGTCCCACTGGCCAACAAGGCCCGATAGGACTCCTCCTTCAGCTCGACAGCCTCCCTAACCCGGGGTGTCCACTACCAAGTTTGTGGATGGCCACTGTGAGAAGCACTGATAATCTTGTGGCCACAGCTCAAGGCATCTACCTCAACAAGCGAGGCACGGAACATGGTCCACTCAGACTCAATGTCTCCCACCTCAGCTGGGATGTGGTTAAAGCTCTCCCGGAGGTGTGAGTTGAAGATTTCTCTGACGGGTTCTTGACTGCCCATTTAAAAAATATTGACCTACAATTTGTTGTGGTAGCAGCTATGATTAATCCCAAAACACATTTAAGCACTAAGATTACAAAAGATTTTTGTTTAAAGTTTTGCATTAACTACCGGTACGCTGTCTTTTTGGTTGCAAGAACCACTGCGCAGATGTGACTAAAACTTTAAGGAAATCATCACTGGTTGTACGTCTAAAACTGATTACATGTTGTAGTCAATCTTTTTCCAGAAACCCACCAGAGCTAATGCAAATTAGCGAACACCAAAATGGATATAACTCTGAGAAATGTATAGATACTGAGCTTGAACTAAAAGGTAATGATGTTAAAGAGTTGTTACCAACACAGACTCTGAGCGTGAATGCAGTGTAACATACGACATTCAGGTGTAACATTATGTGAATGGGGAGTGGTGGCGCAGAGGTTAGAGAGGTGGGCCTGTGATCGGAAGATCGCCGGTTCACGCCCTGGTACCGTCAACATCAAAATGTGGGTGGGGTAGGTGAAACACCCACACCTGCCTCCACCCTCATTCGCCCCACTCTGGGGCCATGAGCAAGGCCCTCAACCCCCACCGTCTGCTCCCTAAACAGGTCTCTCTTGAAAATGAGTTCTCGTGGCTCAATGAGACTAACCTGGATAAATAAAGGTAAATGAAAAAAAAAAACATGTTAATAAACAATACAATATATAAGAAATAAGATAAACAATATCA